ATGCCTCGGAAGTAAGAACGCGGCTTACTGGCATAACAGATATATTTTTGAAAATTGAAAGACGCGGTTCAAGTACAAAAAGGGAAACTTATTACAAAATAGTTTGATCCATTGTTCTGCGAGTTCAGCTTACGTAGAGCTTGTTCCTCTTCTTCCAGTACGTTTACTCTTTGCTGTCCTGCAATAAGAAAAACAAACTTACGTTAATAACGTCACATGTAATGATTTTTAATACCGTTACAGAAACAAGAAATGAGTTTCGCGCCGAAATCTTATACGTTCATTCATATACTTTACTTTTGGTAATTTAAATTTCAAAATAATATGACAAAACAAAAAATTCTTAATATGTAATATTACATTTACATTTCATGGTCGATTTTCAGAATAACTAAGCATAAATGACCTTAACATTTATGAATAAATATAGAAATTGCTGTGCAAATATGTACTTTGTACTTGTATAAACCAACTTAGTATTTCAGCTGATTTCACGTGTATTTAATCCCAAACCCTGGTATTGAATATTGAATAAAATATTCTCACATAATGATGGACTGACCTTAAACAAATTTACCTTTTATTATGTACTAAGTTCTTAATATATTGGTTAATAACTTGATGTAAACCATTTCACGTATCGCAAACATAAAGTTACCTCACACAAAGTTAATTTTCTTAATTGTCTTGAAGTAAGCAGTAATAAAAATTGAGCAGGATAACATTAATTCATTTTACCTCATTACATTCTGATCAGCTGATTATATCCTATAATATTTTAAAATCAGAATTATCGTAAAGTTAACATAACTTATAAAATGTAAATTGGTTAAATGTGATGAATATGTAGCATCATGGTGTGGTTGAGATTCGTATAAATGTAACAAGACCTAAGATTTTGTGGAATATGATCTTGTAAAAAAATATAAGCCCTTCTTTCTGTTCTACCAATTTTACTGTTTTGGGAGATACATGTAAATTTATATACGCAGTTGGAGGTAACACGAAAGAGGTACCCATGGATCTTTTATTTCTGTAAACGATATTCTGATTTATCCAAGATCAGCTTGGATGGAGGATAGGTTATAGACAGTCTAGTTTTTGATCTGTTTATTATCACTGCAACTTCATCACCTTTGAATTTAAGTTAAATAAAAATAGGATTTTTTGTCTATTGTGGTTTCTTTAGTCATTTTGTTTACAGTTTTCCATAGTTCTTAATAAATTTCTGTAGATACCTATTGTTCCTCATACATTTTTTTAGCGTTGACTAGTTCTGCTTCCAATTTATTGATAGTACACATCATTTCAGTTCTGTCAAATAACGTTTTATTAAGTAGCCTCTTGTAGCTAATTAGACAAAGCCGTTAAAAATTGAACAAACACCATTCCATATATATTTTTTGATAAACTAAGCATTGGATTGTACCATCCTCAATCCATTATATTGCTATATCGAGAAAGTTGAAATTGTTATTATTTTGATTTCTTATTGTCAACTGGATATTTTTATGATCGTCTATGAAAAGGTTTATTGTTGATCATTACATATGATCCTCACGGGGTGCTTATATGACAATCAAGAATGATCGAATTTCAGTCAAAATATCAACAACCGATCCATTTCGAATTGAATTATAACATAGATTTTTTTAAATATATCCCAAAAATGACAAAGCTTAATCCCAAAACTAAAAAAATCGAAGTGTCATGACTTAATTGTCTGAAGCATTTAAAGTCTCAACAATAAAACAAGACATAACAAGTTTAGGAAAATTCTCATATCGACATTTGGTAAATAAAGAAGGAACGAATCGTTTAAGTTTATGAAATCAAAATTATCCTTTTCTGATCGACAAACATAAACTGAGTTAAAAGTGATAAAATCTTACCTAAAAGCTATTTAAAAAGAACAGTCTTCTAGTTTTACTTATATAACCAAATGGTGTTAGATCCCGAAATAAGTTGCGGCAAATATAGATCATTTTTAGTTAAGTTCTAGTAGGTACGAAATCATAACAACACGATTTAGTCATCATTGAAATGTTTGTTAGTTGAAGTAAGTACAATTGTAACTAAGTTGCTTTCACGTCCTCAAATATAGGACCCCTGTTTCATCCTTCTTGAGACTTGCCAGTTGTATTTGTTTTTCAGTGAATCCTGATGTTTCATCTTATGCCTGAACCCAACATTTATTGCATCAAATTAAAATTACATGATAAAAAACAACATTTTACATTGTAGTTGAGTCTTATATGTATTTGTAACCACACAATATAGTACATATTAATACGCGATTACAAGTAATTATTCCATTGAACGGAATACTTTGACTACGTTACTGATACACTCACTCCTATTCATTGGGTTAACTTTATACTGACTATGTAATAAGCGAACCCTGTTTAATGATATTTTTACTGCCGTAACAAAAGTTTATACCTTAAACATACAAAAAACTTATTTCCACAGGAATTCAATCCCATAAAGAAATTTTAACAAGCTCACTTTTAGATTTTATGGTTAACATAACGGAATTTTCATAGTAAAATAAATATTGAAAATCAGTGAGCGGTGAACAATTTTTTCATCCAAGTTTGAGTTTCATCAGGATTGTTCATCCGTGGCCCTAACGAATATCAAATTCCAGAACCTTTAGGTCGCTCGGCAAACGCTCAAACGTTAGACCAAAAAGCTAACATTCATTGTTTTACTTGCTTAACTTCAATTAACTTCCGATATCGTAAAAATTTATTTCAATGTCATTAGTGTATAGTTACATCACACTCAACAAGGTCGGACTCCACTAGTTAGGGATTCTCATCAAGAGACTTTTAAGCATTGACTATTTTGGTTAATCCCCGATTAATGATAAGTTTCACTCAAGTGTTCTTACAGATATTTTATCCAGATGACTGCATACTTAAGCACTGTAAACCATTATTATAGGCTATTATCTACGATGAAAATAGGCTATTAGATCAATTCTCTCCTAATCAACATCGCAAAACGATTACCTAACTGAGATTAGTGGTATTTTCTTGACTTAAATATGGATGCTAAGCTTTTTAGGTATTATTTACATAAGAATTAATTCTTAGAAAGCGAGAGGTTGAGATTATTCTTAAACATCACTTGTACAATTATTTATGTGTAATCATACCATTCACCATTTAGTATGAAATAATTGAGAGAAGTACATTTTTAATTCATCTATATAATGTTATTGATAATAGAAGTATGAATCAGAAAGAAAACCTATGAATGATTTGGTTGATTTGACAAAACTTAGCTAACTAACACAGAGATAGAAGGCAACAGACTGTACACTAAAATACAATGCGCCTATATAACTCCTGAATTTGTTCCAGTTCTAAAGCGTATTCATGGAAGCCTATTCATGAAAGTCTATTCGTTTACTGTACATCACTGAAGAAAATCTATCAAAAGACAAACTGATGTGATATATCAGTATGGAGCCTTCGAGATTGTTTAATTCTATTGAGATCACGAAACGATCTAAGTTAAACAGACACTGAAACCTATAAGGCACTAGGTGACCGTTTCTTATTGGTATAGGACTCTTCAATGGCGTGGCATCCAAATCCCAGTCACTGGGGACCGAACTCAAAATCGGTCTCGTGAGTGGACGCTTAAATTCTAGACCACTGAATTGGGATTCGTTTATGCACAATATGAATTATAGAGCGACGCTAAGGTGACCTAGAAAGTGTCTACTTAATAACTAGGACCAAATGAGCGTTATAAACCAGTGTGAGGAATTAAAATTATGACTTACATTTGATAGTTAGAATTAGGAATTAGATTTAGAGTTTTCATCACTAACTGAGGTTGACATTCATTGCACGGCGGTTGTAATTCAATATGAATGGCTAACTCATAAGTGGCACAAAATTGGATTAATAAGAAAAATAATTAATTCGTGCTAATCCTGGAAGTTTAAAGTATATAACAACAGTTTGTGCGTCAGACATGAGTTTACAATTAGGTTAAAATAAAAATGCAATCCATTACTTAATAATTATGAAATAAATATACAAATAATGGTTTTCCATAAGATTTCAATATCAATGTTTGACTAGATAGCTCCAAATAAATTGAGCATTGGGTAGAAGGATAATAATAAATAATTTGTTTTTTGGGTGATATCCCAATGAGTAGACATTTGTATTTCTGACGTTTCATGAATGCTATTTAGAGTTGTGTTAGTTTTGTTTCAATTATTTACTTATTTACTCAGATGAAGTGACTTACATTAAGTCACGAAACGTCAGAAATACAAATTTCTACTCATTAAGATATCACAAAAGGTAAATTTAATTATTATTTCTCTAGGATAGATCTGAATATTCAATTTAAAATTCTTTCCAAAATAAAAAACCATTATCATGAATAATTAACAGCATCTACTTTTTGATTGAAGCAAAATTGCATCTAAACGATAAGGATTAAAACTTTGACCAGTAAATTATGAGTTTGAACCCGCTTCAAACTGAAAAACTTTGACTTATAACCTTGTACATATATTTGTATACCTGTTTTATGTATTTAAATATGAGGAAAGTCCCTATTTTTGATTAACTTCTCATCGAATATACAAATGAACAAATACATTGAGAAAAAACATCTTATAAACACTAATTTATTTTCAATGGCTAAGATCATGAGTCAGTTGAAGCTAGACCACCATGGAAAACCTGGAAGTACTTGAAGGCCGTTTCGTCCCGTTGTGGGTCCTGGTTTCGAATCTCGCAGAGGGCGAGGTCATGGATGCGCACTGCTGAGGATTCCTACAATAGGACGAAACGGCCGTCCAGTACTTCCAGGCTTTCCATGGTGGTCTAGCTGCAACTGACTCATGATCTTAACCATTGAAATTACTACAATCTCCACAAAACCCATCTGATACTAATTTATTTATTTTACAATCCTTTCCGTATAACTAATTGGTCAACTAATAACCTATTATTAATTTATAGGCTATGAATTTATTAAATAACTTAGGAAAATGTAAATATGAAAGAAGTCATCCTTATCTTGCTCATCATGAGCATCAACCTATCGATGTTCAAAATGAAAATAATAAAATGACATCAAGTCCTTTAGAAAAGTGGATTTGGGAAAATGGATGTAAAACTTTACAAAATTTTCATCTTAAATCTGATATTCTCAGTTTTAAATCATCATCAATTCATTCAAAATGTCCAACACTTGAACTTGATTTAAATTTGGCTAAACATTTAACAGAAGTTGATTTACTTTCTCAAGTAAGTACATTTATAATATTTTGAATAAGATATTCATTTGTATATATTTTATAATTTATGATATCAAGACTATAATTTATGAACGAACTAATGAGGTATAAGATAACATATCTCAGATTTTGGCGCAAAATTCACTCAACCATTTGGTTAAATAGAGTCTTGACATTATAGTTGATGTCAGTTCGTGATAAAAACCCTAAATCTAATTCCTAACCTTAACCATCAACTGTAAATCATAATTTGAATTCTTCACACTAATTTCTAACTCTCATTTGGTCCTAGTTATCAGGTGGACACTCTCAAGGTCAGTGTAACGTTGCTTAATGGTCATTCATAAATTATAGTTTCACCGTTATGATTTCCTTAAAATTTATGTTCATATTTGCTAACTTTTTTTGTATTCTTTAATTATTGAATAAGTATTTTTACAAATTAAGTTACATGTTCCTTTCGATGTAATGGATACTAATTCATCATTCTAAAGATAATGAGTTTGACATGAGATTTGGAGGTCCTTTGTTCGAACCCTGATAAAAACATTTACGTAATCTATGATGATACGACTGTTCAGTGCTCCATAGTCTTCGAAATTTTCCACTGGTTGTAACTGATGTATGCTGAAAATCAACTCGAAAAGGTTTTTTTTTTAATTTAGGAGTGATGTTGAAACTGATCCCAATATCAAACAAATTCTTTGTCATATCTCTAAACAAATTACTTCCCCATTTCATTAAGCGTTGACTTGGTAGTTTAAATTTTAGGGTATGATATCCGTTCGGTTTGGGATCAGGATGAATGCTAGTCCGCATGCACTAAATACGTAACTCGAAGATGAGGACTGAAACTTCTGTGTAAATGAGTTTATATACATTTAGTATTCTGTAGGTTCCCAAATTTTATCTCCAGATTGTTATGCCGAATGATCGCTCGAAGTCGATGCTGATTTGCACGCTTCCTATAGGCGAAACCAGTCTAATAATTAGGTGCGGAGACTAAGGTTGAATGGATATTTGTATTGCCAAATCAAGTATAAATACACATACAAACTCATTGGCTTATATATATCATTCATATAGTTGAGGCAAATTTCGACCAATACAGTTCATCCATCAACATATTTCACATATTATTGACTTTAATCCAACGTATGCACGTAGGCATATTATGTTTCTGGATTGCCCCATTCTATGACATATCTTTGAATTACATGGCTTCGTTCAATAGGATTTTTTCTACTAATTTATATAAGCAGTTCTCAACATGATAGTAATATATTCTAATTTCGACAGTCTTAAGATTTCTGCGCTAAATGATCAAATTGAGGAGCTTCATCTCGTTCCAGAACGCATTACGCGCTCCTGAATTAATTAGGCGCTTAAGAAAATGAGCTACAGATCTCCTTCATTTAATTCCACTTGTTACTAAATGAATTAAATTACCCCATTACTGACCTTCAGCCATTGATTTTAGCTATGGTACAACGTGATACTGATTTTCCTCAAGCATATTAGTGAATAGTTCTTTCAGAAAAGTTCTACAATCATTTTAGATACTTATATTTTGCATTGAAATTGTTTCAAATTGTAACGTTGCCTTTCATCATAAATAATGACAAATTTAAAGTAGTCCGTGAAACCAATGGCTCTTCTCTTAACAATCTACCTTTTACAAATCGAATGTAAGATAATAGGACAATGTATCATTCCTATTAACATTATTTTTTCTTCACCCCGTTCCTCTCTTTTCTTTTATTTAAACATCAAACAATCCTATTCTAGGCAAATGTATTACAACAAATGATACATGTATATTCATATGAAATGTTAACAAATCAATTAGCACAAAATTTATTACGTATACATGGAATATGGTTTGAATTATACTCAGGTAGAGTATTATTATATAGTCGTTTAAATAAAGCATTTCTACCTATTACTGAAGAGACAATTAATTCATTACTTCATGAATTATAATATAATTTCTTTATACAATCAATTTATTTTTTATTTATTTCATTATGGTTGCTTCTTTATTCTTTCTTAACTATCTCTTAAGAGATTTTTATACTATTTTATTTATCAAGATACCTCTTTGTTGTTGTTGTTGTTGTGGTTACTGAAAGGTGAATTCATTATTCCATTTATTTTCTTATTATTTAATCAAATATTTTGTTTAAGAAATTTCACAAGTTGAAATCATGAGTCAGTTGAAGCTAGACCACCATTGAAATGCCGGCTCAGTGGTCTAGTGGTTAAGTGCTCGCGCGCGAAGCCAGTAGGTCCTGGGCTCGAGCCCCGCGTGGTGCGGGATCCTGGATGCGCACTGCTGATGAGTCCCATACCAGGACGAAACGGCCGTCCAGTGCTTCCAGGTTTTCAATGGTGGTCTAGCTTCAACTGACTCATGATTTAAACCTGTGAAATTTCTTAAATTCTCCACAAAATATTTTGTTTTTCAAATTATTAGCCATTTGGATGTATGTATATTTTCAACTTGGCATAGAATATCATTTTCAAAGATCTTTATGGTAAATCTAGTCTATTATTTCTAAATGTATATCGAAATTTTGAAATATAACCAATGGTGATTGATCAGCTGACTCAGGGTATAGAATATTTTATTGATATATCTTTATGTTATTTTTCGAAACAATCTTCCATGATTGAATAAAATTGAATCTTTATGCGAAATGAGGATATTTAGATCATACAAATGAATATGACAACAAACTATTAGAAATAATGCATTTCAGGGTCATCACTTCATTTTAAGAAAATTTATTTTCCCTATTTGAATTTATTCAATGGAACTTTAAATGTTTATCTTCAATTCAATGATTTCAAATAGTGTTTTTTTAAATTAATGAATAATGTTTTATTGAAGGATTATTTAAAACATCATTATATGAATGAAGAATAGGCTTCTCAATCATTTCTACAATGATCTCATATCCAAATTAATAAACCATAAAATTGGTCAGATTTAAAGAAGAGTACATCATTTGGAAATTGTAATATGTGAATCAAGGATTGTTTATCAAACTAAATCGTCAATATTAGAGTTGACTTATATGAAGTGTTAACTTGAATCAGTTTATAAGTGAAATGAAATTGGAAGATAAATAATGAATTGATTGATGTTAGACCATCATTGAAAACCTGGTGATCTAACATCAATCAATTCATGATCTCAATAAAATACAACCCTATACTGTGATATACAGATAAATAATGATCAGAATAAATATAGTCAGCATGGGGTGAAAGAGAGAGAGAGTGAGAATAATGTAATCATAAATCGAAAATTACGTAATATGTAGAATAATATGAATTAGGTCAGATATAGTAGGTAGGGCTGAATGCTGAATAAAGTTCTTAAAAAGGTTATCAAGTGTAATAACAACAATAGTAAAGACTATTTAGGTGATTTTTCAAATTCTTATGTGATATAGAGTCTTTTCTTAGTTTTCTTCAAAATAAAAAAAGTAATAACAATGTCATAGATTCTATTAAGGAAAATACTTTTCCTTTCACTATCAAGGTAGTAGTAATAATAATAAGGATACTTCAATATGCTATGCAAAACATTTATATTTATCTATGATTAAATGTTGTTCATTTGTATTTGTAATGTATATTGTAAATGAATTTGTTACAATGAATTTGAATTGTTTAATTTATTTTCATTGTATTTTTGAATGAAATAAATTAATTTGTAACAGAAAAAGATTTAGATATTTGATATGACTTCTTAATTGATTTCTGAAATCCCCTTCACCATGAATATGTCTTGTCGACATCATCGTTAATTGTTATGCCTGATCGTCGATGATTATTATGTTGGAAACGTTTATCACTTATACTTGAAACGAGGGTATTTTGCACTTCCCATGACGCAAAAGTAAAGGATACAAAGACCGGTATAAGTAATGATTTATTAACCTAGGAACACGACGACGATAATGACAACCCTAGTTGAAAATACACTCATTTACATATTGATTGTACACACACATACTTTGATTATTAATTAGAATGAAATCACATATATGAAAAATACTCAGTTATAACAAATCACTTCATGTTCGTTGAATACAAGAATATTGTATGTTATAAAGAATAAAATATCATCAGAATGGGTTTTTGTGGAGAGTTTAAGAAATTTCACAAGTTGAAATCATGAGTCATTTGAAGCTAGACCACCATTGAAAACCTGGAAGCACTGAACGGCCGTTTCGTCCTGGTATGGGACTCCTCAACAGTACGCATCCACGATCCCGCCCCGCGAAATTCGAACCCAGGACCTGTCAGTTAAGGACGCGAGCCCTGAACCGTCAGACCACTGAGCTGGCCGGCATCCAACGGTGTTAATGTCTAACTTCAACCAATCCACGAAGTTGCGCCACCGTACACCATTGTCTTCAGTGAGTTGTTATCTCACAACAGACCGGTTGGACTCCACTGGTAACGGCTTCTCACTAGAACTCCAGGAGTTTTTCCTGAAGTCAGTCACTAGAGAGCAGTTGATTATAATCAGAATGGGTTTTTGTGGAGAGTTTAAGAAATTTCACAAGTTGAAATCATGAATCAGTTGAAGCTAGACCACCATTGAAATGCCGGCTCAGTGGTCTAGTGATTAAGTGCTCGCGCGCGAAGCCAGTAGGTCCTGGGTTCGAGCCCCGCGTGGTGCGGGATCGTGGATGCGCACTGCTGCGGAGTCCCATACCAGGACGAAACGGCCGTCCAGTGCTTCCAGGTCTTCAATGGTGGTCTAGCTTCAACTGACTCATGATTTCGATTTGTGAAATAAAATATCATACGGGAAATTAAAACCGATTACTATACTGAATAATCAACACATTGAATCAAAAACGGAATTAATGTTGAATAAAACTGATAATGAATAAATCAATCTAATTTTGACATTTCTTTCCATTATATCCATTTTATTTATATAAAGGTTCAATTTTCCCGTTGTTATAATACACAAGACTACAATTA